ACAATACTTTTGTAAACAATCTATCTTCCCTAGTCACTTCTGCTATAATAGAGTAAGAATTCTGATCGTTCGCATACTTCTAATATATTGTTGTAATGTCAGAAACAAATCTCAATAGACTTAGGGAGAGATTGAGATCTGTTGATTGGTCACCTGTTTACAATCATAGTGATGGAAATATTTCGTATGAAAACTTTATTCATTTATTAACATCTAACTTGAATTCAACCATACCTCTTCAGAAATCAAATTTTTCCAACCATAAAAAGATTCCTAAAAGTCCTTGGATCACGAAGTGTCTCCTTAAAGGTACTATGTCCCATTTGCAGGCCAAAAAAAATGAAAAAGTTCAATTCCAACTGCATTTGAAAGATAATACTAATTTAGAACTTCCCTAAAAAAGGTGGGGCTTGAAAATGTCTTCAAGTGGGAAAATAACGACTATTACTTGTCAAATCGACTTTAGGGCTATAGAGCCCAAAAGTAATAGTCTTGATTTTCAGACAATTGTACTGAATGGTCATACGTTTTATGCTGCGCAAAGATTCAGTCAGTTTAATCTTGGCCATCACAAGAAGTGGGTTATTGATGTAGACAAATGCTCATGTACCCTTTACACCTCTTTTCATGTATGTTATTACCAAAGAAGAAAAAAAGCCAGTCAGTCACTCAATAGTGTCTGGCAGTGAAGTCTAGCAAGTAAACGGGTTTCCTTGCATAATTTAAAAATAAGGGCAGTGCTAACGTTTAAATTTCACAGATAGGACATACATGACATATTCATAATTCCAGCAAAGTTCTACAGCATTTGAGGTTGGCTGCAAAAGGGACATAGTACCTTTAAGTCTATTAATAGAAAAAATAAACTCTTCTATAAACACAGAAAAAATCTGTATGCACATAATAAGGCTCAATACGTTTGTTACCATAATGTTCTCACATCGTCTTTACGTTTAGCTAAACAATTGTATTATTCACGCCAGTTTGAAAAGTACAAATTCGATATAAAGAGTACGTGGAGGGTGATTAACGAGGCTTTGAAATTTAAAAACGATACCGATCCCCCAAAGTATTTTTTTAAAATTAATTGCAAAATCGATGATCCCTCAATCATGGCTGAGTGAGGTATTCAATGACTTTTTTGTGAATATAGAACCGAATCTTGCCAATACTATCCCAAAGTCAAATTTAGAGTTTCAAATTTTTCTAAAAGCTCCTAACCCTCAGTCTTTTTTTTTCACACCAGTTCTAGAGAGTTAAATCAAAACTATTATAACCAATCTAAATACGAAGAAGGGTCGGGATATGATGGAATCACAAATTTCCTTCTTAAAAATATTATTGATGAAATAATTTCCCCTCTCATATTCATTTTGAATTTGTCTTTAACCACAGGCACAGTCCCACAAAATATGGAAATAGCCAGAGTCCCTACTCCCTATCTTTAAAAAAAGTCAGAAACAACCACTCAATACTTATCGTCCGATTCACTCTTAACATCCATTTCTAAAATCCTCGAAAGGTTGGTACACACCTGCATACTAAATTTCATTACCCATAGCAAAGATTTATGTGACTCTCAGTTTGGTTTTCGAAAGAATCATAGTACAAGTCATGCTTTATTATCTTTTATAGACAAAATAGCCCACGCAGTTGACAACGTTTCTCACACTATTGGGGTTTTTCTAGATTTTTCCAAAGCTTTCGATACGATTAACCACGATATTTTAATTTACAAGTTACGTCATTATGGAGTTTCGCGGAGTGCCTCTAGACTGGTTCATAGACTATCTAACAAATAGAAAACAGTTTGTCAGTGTGTTCGGTCATGATTCCCATTTGAAATTGGTTACCTGTGGCGTCCTGCAAGGCTCCCTACTTGACCCGCTTTTGTTTATTTTATATATTAATGATCTCAGAAATTCCTCACAGCTACTTTCATTCATTTTTTTTGCGGATGATACTAATTTATTCTTTACACATCGTGACCCTCATACTCTAGTTGACACTGTTAAGAAAGAACTTGTATCTGTTCAGTCCTGGATTTATGCAAACAAGTTATCACTAAATACAGGCAAAACTCACTATATGCTTTTTAGTAATACATTAAAAATACTTCCTAATCATGTCATCAATTTTAATAATACCGAACTAGAACAAGTCGACTGCACTAAATTTCTGGGACTTTATATTGATAGTGATTTATCTTGGAAATCCCACATTACTAATTTGAGCAAGGTCCTCTCAACACTTTTTTTCCCCAGTAAAATTTTAGTATCAGTTTATTCTGCTTTAATGACTCCATACCTCACCTATGGAATTCTTGCCTGGGGTAACGCTTGAGGAAATTTAATAAATATGCTTTTTCGCCTTCAAAAACGCGCTATTAGAAATATTAATCATGTAGGATACCTTTTTCACACCAACAACCTGTTCCATGAAAACAGAATCCTAAAATTATCAGACTTATTCTATTGCAATATTGGTATATTCATGTACAATTTATCTACCAATAACCTACCTGAAATATTTTTACAAATTTTCTGCAAAAATAGATCCCTACATGATTATCCCACACGTCAGAGCAACGCATATCACCTTCCACGTACCCAAACTGTTTTTGCCCAAAAAATGATTATGTTAACAGGACCCAATTACTGGAATGCCCTCCCGTTAGAGTTAATTGAAAGTCCTTCCTTATATACTTTTAAACGTAAACTGAAGGAACTGCTTTTCAAAGCATATCTTGATGTCAATGTATGACTTTTGCGTGCAAGCACGTTGAGTGTGGCTGTCGTGCTTTTGAAAATACGTCTTTAAACAACAACAACAATAAAACATCTTTACTTCTATATCCGAGAGTGCGACGGCTGACACAGTGTGCTTGCTCGCTTCGTTGTTATATTTATGCATGTAATAAACAAATGTAATGTTTGTTTACCAGCTGAGCACCCATTGTATATGATAATTTAAGTATGTGTACTTTCATCTACACTGTAAGAAAGGAAGGGACAATATAAACGGCACCACCGCATGTTTATTATTATTTCCTTTTATTTTTTGATTCATTTAGACTGGTCACTATTATATCTGTCCTCCATTTATTACCACAAATTATTTCACTGGGGCCTACAGCTTTACAAGCTTGCTTTCATGTAGGTCCCAGTTAAATCAGTATTCCATATTGACCACTTATCTTTGTTATTTATTATGTATTATTGAAAAAACAATTTGTACTTTATTTGAAATGTATAAGTAACATGAGAAATATGAAAATAAAAAAATTAAAGGAATGCCAATATTAATAAACAATAATTAATAAAATATTTCTTTACCCAGGGAAGCCTCTTCTGCATCGATGCTGTTCAATGCAAATTGTATTGCCCAGCAATTGCCAGGTACCCATCTACATAGTGCTGTAAGTCAGATGCTATGTTCATGTTCGGGTTTGGTTCGGCAGAGTTCGCCAATTTTTCACCCGAACTTGGTTCGGTTCGGGGTTTTGGTAATATAATATAGCAAGCAGCGTTATAGCCATGGCAGTCCGCACTGGGCGGGCCGGCCCTATGGGCCCGACCAGCACAGAAGACTTTTGCCCACTCCCGATGTAAAACACTGCTTCCGACCAGCACAAATTTCACATTAAAAAACTGCTCTAAACTTAATTATTTGTGAAGAAAAGTACTACTTACATTCGCATTTCCGTCTTGAATCATGTTTTATTTGCAATTCTAAAAGAATCATGTTTTCAATTTGTCAATAAATGATATTTTTTAAAGATTTTTCGACACGGTTGTTGTCTAATGTTAGAGTCATGAAAGCTGCCATCTTGAATAGCGACTCAGGCTCGTCGACTACTGTTTTTTTTATAAGTGTTTATTTTCAATAGGAAAAATATAAAATCTCTATTTTTCCTGAATAAATAAATTCCATACTATAATAAATATTTATTTCATTATTTATATCGTAAAAATTGTCCGATATTGTTACAATTAAATTTTTTTGTTTTTTTTGTTGAATGGGTTTGAGCTAAACTTGTTTTGATCAGCGCCTAGATCATGCACACGTATTCTAATTATGGCTTGCGATCACAACGTAGCAGAGGTCAGGATTTAATATTTGAATGGCGCCAGTGATGTCACGTCCACCACTGGATAGGCTCAAATCACAAAGGCGGAAAATGAGAAAAAAGTAAACATAAAATGAGCAATCATGACATGAAAATTAGGTACAAAATGACAAGTTTATTAGCTTGCAAAAACGTTTACATTTTTCTGCCGAACATCCAAACCAGGCCTTTGCGTTCGGTTCGGTTCGGTTCGGAAGTGCCATGTTCGGCGAACTTCCATTCGGTTCAGCGGTTTGGCTACAGCACTACATCTACATCTGGGTAAAGAGTGGCAAAGACATATCTAGGCTGGGATTAAAGGTAATACAAAGTTTTGGGAAATTTTGAAAATTGGTTGGATAGTGAATCTTTACAATTTTGATATATTTTGATGCCCCTGTGGATGTATTATAAGCACCCACAAAATTAACCTCTAAAACACTTCTATTTTCGGGAAAAATTGAATATAAAAATTTACCGGTGCTCCCGGTAAATTTTGATAAATTTCAAATAGCCCCTACGGCCGTACAATGGTAGCTGCGACCATGAAAATCTCAGAATATGTAGTTGTGATATATAATTTCCAAACGGGAATAGCTAATTGGTCGATTTTAGTCAAGAAACATTGTTTCATAGCTAAATTGATATCTTGACCTTGAGAGGGAGCTACATGTATACAACATAAAGAGTTTATTATTTATAATTTCTTAACTTTAGACTCGATTTCAACCGGGACAATGATCAATGAATATTGTAGGAACGCATATGCTTCCAATATGTTAATTTGAACCAAATTCATGACCCCATACCAAAAACTTTGTAATACCTTTAAGAGTCAATGGAATGAACCACTTTACCATGACACATGCGCCATACAAGACGGACAACTTACATCATCATTGCCCATGCTGTACTTGAGTTTGTTTTCCTTCAAGATGAGCCAAAGTCCAAAGAGCGCTAAGAGAAGTCCATGGCCTGCATCACCAAACATCACACCAAACAGGAATGGGAAGGTGATAATGGCAAAGGGGGCTAAAATATGAAGATATGAAGAGAAAAATGTGTCATAACAAATAATAAAAATTTTAAAACAAAGAATAGATTGTAGCAGATGAAACATAAAGAAGAACAAAGAAATATTACTTTAAAGGAATAAATGGAAGATAAAAATAGAAGAGTAAAAAAGGGCTAATCTAAAGAAGGTATCATTGAATTAAAGAATAAGCTGAGTAAGTAGATATTATAGATATAATGACTGCTAAGAGAGGCATGGCTGTTTCTATAGGCTCTCAGGGACGTTACATCCTGCTATCACCCGAGGCGCGCCAATGGGTCATAGCAGGATGTAACGTCCCCAAGAGCCAGTATAGAAACAGCTAGACTATGCCTTGAATATTAAAGCAGTCCGTATGTCTTTTATATACCGAATTCACACAAAAATCTACAAAGAATTCTTACCTTATCCTTTTCTTGAGTAAAGATTAGTTAAAATAGAAAATCTGTGACACTGTCTGTTAATATTCGCTGGAAAGTTGCCTGAATGTTACGATCATTTGCAAATCGCACACACACACACACTGCACTGTATGGTATCCGTGCTCGCACAAAGAAACTTTTTATACGTAAACCAATGGATTTCAGACAAATTAACTACGGTATGCGGCCCGTTACCCGGGGCAACGGGCGTCTTCTCATTAACTATTGACCGTCAGGCGGGCATGGCTAAAATCACGTCTCTAATTTCGACCAATCAGATGACTAGATTTATTCAACATAGTAAAGAGAGGTATATAAAAGGGTAATGAATGATTGCACAATCATGAATACGCCCTATTCCTAATTGATACCTTAAGTACTCAATCCCTATTTCTCCTATTCATGACAATAATTAGCACCCCTTTTCACATTTTCATAACGAAGGAAACCCCCATGTATGATTTTACCTTTTACTGTATAATGAGTGCTAAATAAATTTTCCATCCTTTGTTCTTTGAAAAATGTGCTTCAGCTGCTAAATCGAAAGCATGAATCCTTTCAACATCTCTGCTACAAAACAATTGGCCCACAAACATAATGTTAATAATGATGAGGCTACAAAGGGTAACCTGATCAATATCAATACTCTTCCTCTTGAGGACCCTGAAATCATATTACTTTGGCTTTAGCAGAGTACTATGAATTGCGCTCGAGGAGTATTCAGGGAATTTCTTCCAACCTCATCCCTATGTCAGTTTGTCTGGATGAAGAACAGCAAATGTAGATTGATGTCTTGCCAAGGACATTAGGCCTAAAAAAGATGTTGTATTGCTGTAAGGTGCCAGAACCTGGGTCGATCGGTCGGTCAGATATCTTTTTTCTTTTTTTTCCTCCTCAAAACAGCGACCGTCGCCCAAAGAACTCAAAACCATGAACGTCACCCAAATCTCGCTGGTTTCTAGCAGGTGCAGTGCATGATATATACATGTACTTGAGGCCGGGTCTACTTGTTTATGCTAGCAGGATTTCAAAACTAGGACAAAAGACTTGGGAATAATCTGATGATTTTGTGCATTCATATCCCATTTAAAAATACTATGTCCCCTTTGCAGACCTCCCTACATTTGAATTTCAAACTTCCTAGTATTTTGCGCGGCTCAGCAAAATTTGTGGCATCATGTCTGGCTTATCGAGAAATATGCATCATGCAGCTACCCAACACACATCTTGATGTTGGGCACATTAACATGTGCTTAAGGGATTGTTTCAACTTTTCAAGAAGTTTCAAATTGGATTTTTAAAACAATCTAGACCCTAGGAAACCTGAATAGAAGAGAAGCAAACAAATCAATAAAAAAGAAAATACTGTGAAGTATCTCTATGCTAAGGCAGACTATGACAGTATGGCAGAGAAACTAAGCAAACTTGACTGGAAAGAAGAATTTTCCTCCAAAACTATGGACAATGCTTGGAATTTCTTTAGAGATAAGGTGCTAGAGGTTTCAGACAGATACACTCCAAAAAAAGACATCAGAAAAGGTCAATGTACGAAAACCATGGATGGACTCGGATGTAAAAAAGAAGCATCAGCTTTACAGAAGATGGCGACGGACTAAGACAGAAGAGGACCGTAAAATGTACACCCGAGCAAGCAACAAAGTTAAATGGATGTCCAAGAAGGCAGTGCGAAGATTGGAGAAAGATATAGCATCTGGAGTCAAGGAAAATCCCAAAGCCTTCTGGTCATACGTTAAGACTAAAACCATCGCTCAAGAAAGTATCGGCAGTCTTATAAAGTCGGATGGAACCACTACTGAAACAGACATAGAAAAAGCCCAAGTACTGCAAGACTTCTTTATTAGCGAAGATTTGCAGAAAAAGCCGGCTCCTCCTGAAATTGACTTTGAATCAGCATTAACAAGCTTTGCTGTCGTACCATCAGACGTGTTCGAGTTGCTAAGGAATCTGAAACCAAATGGCCCAAATTCACAAAGGAGGTTTGTTGACAAACCGAGGTTTATGTACGTCTTATGACGCGATTTGACGCGTTTTTTTACAAATCTGGTTTGTAAAAACGCGTCGAATGACGCATGAAAACCCAAGGTTTGTCGACAAACCTCCTTTGTGAATTTGGGCCAATAAGTCTCAAGGACCTGATGGATTGCATCCACGTTTACTGCAAAGGTTGGAAGGCATTCTTGATGCGCCACTTTCACTCTTGTTCAAAATGTGCTTAGAAAAGGGAGAATTACCCTTGGACTGGATATCAGCTAATGTTACGCCCATTTTCAAAAAAAGAAACAAGCAAAAAAGCAGAAACTATAGATCAGTGAGTCTCACATGTGTTGTGTGCAAGATATTTGAGCGCATGGTGAGAAAGCACATCATCAAACACCTATCAACAAATGAGATGTTGTCTGCACACCAACATGGCTGCGTTCCTGGTTGTTCCTGTACCAATCATCTGCTGGAAGTACTCAACGACTGGACACATATCTTAGAAGAGGGAGGTAACGTTGATGCAATTTACATGGACTTTATGAATTCTTTTGATTCAGTACCCCATTATTGATTGCTGCAGAAAGTTGAAGCCTTTGGCATCCATGTTCAGACACTGGGATGGATCAAAGCATTCTTAGTTGGAAGGAGACAGCGTGTAGTAGTGAAAGGTCAATGGTCCGAATGGTCATCAGTGCTGAGTTGAATTCCGCAAGGGAGTGTACTCGGGCCGCAGTTATTCCTGATCTACATAAACAATTTTCCTGATGTCATAGAGTCCAGAATTCAGTTTTTTGCAGACGACACAAAACTGTATGCCAGATGTGACACCTACGTGGATTCCCAGAAATTGCAGGATGATCTGATAAAGATGCAGGAATGATCAGATATATGGCAGCTTAGATTTCACCCACAGAAGTGTACTGTGTTGAAAATTGGCAGGTCCCCCTCAAGTTATGATTATCGCATGAAGAATGGCAATGAAAACTACAATCCTGAAAGAATCGAAAGTGGAAAGGGATCTTGGTGTGCTTGTTGATTCTTAGCTGACTTTCAAAGACCACATCTCTCATGTTGTATCCAGGTCTAACAGGCTACTGGGGGTGATACAAAGATCATTCACAAACATGGACACAGACACTTTCAAACTCTTGTACATAGGCCTTGTAAGGTCTGTCTTGGAGTACGGACAAGTTGCATGGTCACCATACAGGATAGGTGAACAAAAGAGACTTGAAAGCGTCCAACGAAGAGCTACAAAGATGGTACCTAGTTTGGAGAATCTACCATACGAAACACGTCTGAGATACCTGAATAATAATAATAATATTTAATTTTTATATAGCGCTTAATACAAATGCCTCTAACAACTTTACAAATATATTATTACCCCAGTCATTGGATTCAGTGCTTGCCCGAACACAATGTGTGCACAATCTCCACTCCGTGGGGAGCATTCCAGCCAGGCACTACATGACGCTCAAAAACTGTTTGACCAACAATGACGGTCGCATCCTACCGGGTACCCATTTAACACCTGGGTAGAGAGTAGCAATTGCAGGTTAATATCTTGCCAAAGGATATTAGCTACCGTCTCTTGCCCATCGCAGGAAGAGAGGAGATATGATCAACGTTTACAAGTACCTCCATGGCCTAAACACCACTCAGACAGACCTACTACATTTATGCAAGGAAAACAGAACACGAGGCCATACCCTGAAACTAGAGAAGAAATTTTCACACCTCGACATCAGGAAATTCATTTTCTCGAATAGAGTAGTGGACACATGGAATAACCTATCTGAAGAAGTGCCCATCCGTAAATGCCTTAAAGGTGAAATTCAAAGAAAATCACAGATATGTCAACTAATGTATCACTAGAAACTGGTTAGCTAACAGATGGCCATGGTACAAGTTTTAGGTCAACTACATATCGGGTGATTAATAAAAATACAAATACAACTACCTCCATAGCAGCTGGGATATACAACAGATTCGCCGGAATAATAACGATGTTTTAATGACGTCACTAATATGGACCAACTAATGTATCACTAGAAACTGGTTAGCTAACAGATGGCCATGGTACAAGTTTTAGGTCAACTACATATCGGGTGATTAATAAAAATACAAATACAACCACCTCCATAGCAGCTGGGATATACAACAGATTCGCCGGAATAATAACGATGTTTTAATGACGTCACTATATGGACCAACACTGCCCAAGCAGACGACATCCCATAAAGAATGAACATAATTGCAAAGCTATTATTTGTCAAATTATAATGAGTTTAGTTTATATAAATGTAATGGCATGTCAAACCATTCAAAAGGGGATATGACCCGATTCTGATAACTAAAATCTTTAGCTTATAACGGCACAGGATAGGGGTTAATTAACGATCAAAGAAACCAGACTTTCAAATTGAAAAACCCCCGGAATGATATTAAGGACGGCATTTGTTCCCTCTTGAAACGCCGAACATACCGTGGTGTGCAGCTGAATATACAATGGAGTCTTATTTTGCTTACAAGCGACAGATTCCTTTATTTTTGTATCGCTGCATTTGTCATCGAAATAAAACCATGCGCAGGGTTTAGAGTGAGGCAATAGATTTTACATTTAGCCTGACGGTAGTGAAGTAAGAGAAAGAACTCAAGAAAAGATTAAAACACAGGCACTGAAAATGTGTGAGATGTAATGGGACATCGTCTGCTTGTGCAAATCATGTCCATACTGTGATCTCACACATCTCAGCAGCGTTCGGAGAGCTCTTCAGGTGTTATGCCGGGGCTGTATTTAAGCGTTTTGGAATTTATAATAATCATTACTTCGAATGTTTCCAAGCATTGAATTTTGATAACCTTGTCGATTCAAAGTTTCAACTTTGCAATAATGAAAATAAAATTAGTTTTTAAAATCAATGAATATCTACTTTAAAAAACAAACTCGATAAATATTGGAAAAAAAATCACCTTCAGTATATGACCTTGAAGGTAAAGAGAAGAATGCAGAACTATTCCAACTTCCACACACACACCTTGACACAAAACCACAACAAACAGAAGTATTGATGCAACGGAATTCAATCGATCGATGAAGTGGCTCTGTCCTACCAACATCGATGGATTAAAGTAAAGTAAAGTAAGTAAGTAATGAAAAGTTAGATATGCAATTCAGATTAAAAAAACACTGCTTAGATTCAATTACTCAATTTATGATCTCGAAATCAAAGATCAGTATAAACAGTTTGAGGGGGTAGAACTCGTACAATTCATCCCATAAATAAAAACGCCACGCACGCAATCGCGATGACCCGGCTCCGCTGGGTAAGCGGGGCTTCACTCCAGTCGCCGCTGGAAGTGGAAGTGTAACTGCACTCGTACTCGCTAGATGATTCATCACAAAATTCAGTTATGGCGAAATCACACCACTCACATAATAACAAATGTATCTCAGTATCGAAAATACACTGCACTGTACATAATGCATTGTGAAGATCACAATTTTTACTTCTGCATTACCGCCAAAGACATGTATAGACATGTATTTCTTCACCAACGTATTATTATATCTTTTTTGCGGAAAATAAAAGAAGAAAGTGGAAAAGTGGAAAAAGGAAAAAATAACGCAGAAATTTTCCGCCAAAAGCGGAGAGGTTGGGAGGTCTGCCTTTGCAGCCAACATCAAATTCTGTAGAACTTATGAATATGTCATGTAAGTCCTACTGTGAAATTTAAATGTTAGCAGTGTCCTAATATTCAAATTATGCAAGGAAACCTGTTTATTTGCTAGACTTCACTGTCAGACACTATTGAGTGACTGGCTTTTTCTCTTCTTTGGTAAATAAAATACATAAAATGAGCTGTAGAGGGTGTACATGAGCATTTGTCTACATCAATAACCCACTTCTTGTAATGGCCAAAATGAAACTGATTGAATCTTTGTGCAGCACAAAACGTAAGACCATTCGGTACAATGGTCTGAAAATCAAACTACTACTTACTGACTTGGTAGCATTTAAGTGGATTTGACAACTAATAGTCATTATTTCCCCACTTAAAGATATTTTCAAGCACCCTTTTTTAGGGAAGTTCTAAATTAGTATTATCTTTCAAATGCCGTTGGAATTCTACCTTTTCATTTTTTGGGCCTGCAAATGGGACATAGTACTTTTAAACAAATAAAATACATATTTTTTTTATTCATTAAACATTTGTTTCTTCTAAAAAAAAGGTTAAAAAAAAACAAAATTTATTAAAAAGCCGACCGTAGATTTTAGGGTTTTGGGGTTGTTCGCAAAGGGCAATACAACATCTTTTTTTCTTATGCTTTAGTGAGAAAAAAAAAAGGGGAAAGGAAGATGGCCAACATACCAGGATTAACCTCCCTGTAGGTAGCTACTCCATAGGCATCAGTCAACTCCTGGAAAGCTAAAGTGAACTTGTTGGTCTTGTTATAGGTGGGAGGGTTGGCGGTTGTTGAGATGCGATTTAAGATGGACGGAACAGAGGAGCCACTTTTTTGCTGAGAAGAAGAGTGATATCAAAGAAAAACTTGCTGTATATGACAGCTAATATTTAAGGTCATTTATAAAGAGTGACACTATAACATTATGAAACTGAGGGTGTAGAATTATGCAGAAGAGCTTAAACTTAAAAACTAGTGCTGTAACGATATTCTGCTTAAGGGCACTAATCACCTATGAAAACAAAATTTTTGCACAGCTAGAATACAACCACAACAATAATTATCTTGCTTTCTGCAGGTTAACAGTTATTAGGAATATAAAGAAAATAAAGAATGAGATAAAATATTGTGAACAGAACCTAAATTAGAATTGGGATCCATGCATGCATCCTATTCTATGCGAGCATATACCGGTACGCATGCATCGACTAGGTGACTCACGAGTCACCTTCAAGTTTAATGAAAGTGTATTTCAACTTTCAATATCTCTTAATACAGAAATATTTGAAGCTTATATTCTGAACTTAGTATAGCGACATGGAACTGGAACCCTTAACATATATAGCAAATATTTTGGTATCCTTTTTGACAGAAAACCCTAACCATTCAATCTGAGTTAAAAATAGACCAGAGACAGAAGCGTAGTCCCATTGTTCAAGTTTAGACATTGAAGGAGAATAGGGGTAATATAGGCTTTGTGTATCAAAAACATTACTCACAAAATAAACAACTAATTGAACACAGTATTTTATTTACTATTTGTGTACTTAAAGCCCTTCAAAAGTGTTAAGAGCCCAAAAAATTTGATGGCAAAATTTCACTTAAATTGTATGATAATGTGAAAGAGGATAACATTTAAAGATATATATATGATTGGTAATAAGAGATTCCACTTCATTTTTTGAGAGGGGGACGTTTCCAAAACTGGTCTATACCTTTAAGACGCACTTCTGCAAAGGATCCCCCCAAAATAATAATGATATATCTTACTTATATAGCGCATATCACAATATGTCTCTATGAGCTGTAAGACAGAGTAAGAAGGAAAGTTGGATAGAGTAACATAAGAAGAGTGAGGTATGCTAATAATGTGAAAATGGATATCATTTATGACACATTTCTGCAAAGATTTTCAAAACGAATGTCTTTGAAGTCAAATATTGATGAAAGAATATAAAATTTAGGTTTCAGCGTACAAGAGAAACCCCAAAATATGTTTCAATATTTGTCTTTGTCTTCAAAAACATTTTTGTAGACAAAGGTGAAGAAGCCATTTTAATGTTATCAGACTATTCCTCTGCATTTGATACCATCAATCATGCAATTATGGTTCAGTGTTTTTAAGCAATGTATGGCATTGAAAATAGTGCACTTAACTGGGTGCATTGATATTTCACAAGCAGATCACAGTCTGTCATTATAAATTCTCAAGAGTCAACAGCCACCTTTTTGAGTGAAGGCGTACCACAAGGTTGTTTGGGCCGCTGGCATTTTCTTTCATTCAAGAACAAGGAATTATTGTAAGACCTTGTTTTAACATCATTAAGACCGTTCAAAATTTAGGTGTTATTTATGACAAACATTGGCATTTTCAATGTACACTCTACCACTAGAAAAAGTTATCAATTCTCAAGGCTTATCAACAATGATTGATGCTGATGATATGCAGATTTATTGCTTGTTCAAACTTTAATGTACCGGTATTGAATCTTCTTTATCAGCTGTGAACAAATGTCTTAATGATGTTAAAGCATGGTCGTACAATAATTCCTTGTTCTTGAATGAAGACAAAACACAAGTTATTCATGTTTCCTCACGTTCGCCAAACTGAATGCCCTTCAATATTGCTTGAAGGCCACGTTTTACAAGCATCAGAAACCGTTCAAAATTTAGTTGTTATATGTGACAAACATTTATTACTGACGGATCAAGTAAGTAAGGTTAGCCTTGCAGCCTCCTTCTTCCTTATATAAAATAGGAAAAATCAGGTGTTACTAAAATGAGAAACTGACAGAACGACTAGTTCATAACCTTGTAATGTGTCATATCGATAATTGTAATACTGTTCTCTACAATCTACCTGAACAGCAACTGAACCGAATCCAAAGAATCCAAAATTCTGCCGCACGGCTTGTTACGAGATCTCGTTCAAGTGAACATATCTCCCCTATTCTGAAAAAAATACACTGGTTACCTGTCTGTGCTAGAATTGAGTTCAAGATCCTTGTTTTAACCTTTAAGTGCCTCAAAGGATTGGCGCCTACTTATTTGACGGAATTACTTTCCCAATATGTTCCAAACAGAACCCACAGATCTTCCCAAAAGTCTCTCCTCACAATTCCACAAACAAATACTAAATTCTACGGGTCTCACTCTTTTCAGGTTGCCCTGGCCGAACTTTGGAATAAACTACCGGAAAATCTAACCAGAAAGTCAATGACGTAGCGCTCATCCGCATCTCGCAACAACAAATATCGTGGTACACTTTTGAACTGGTCAAAAAATAAAAATTTGATGCCCTGGAAGGGACATAATTTCATTTAGCTGTACAAGATTAAATAGAAACTAAAGGAAATGGAATGAAAATTGGTTGAAAAATATATAGTTTTATGACAAGCAGGACTCAAACTTAGTAAGAGATAAATGTAAACATACTCACCTTTTATTATGATAAGAAAAGGACAGAGGTATAAATAGTCAGTAAATTGTCAACAAAAAAATATGGCAAAGAAACAATTTTGTAAGGGACAAAAATGAGTTAGTGTGACAAAATTGTTAAAATATTTAAACAAATTGAAGAATTAGGAGGTAACAAGAGAATGAAAACAATGCATGCATAATACTGATGAATTAAACTGGAATAAATTTGCATAAATTACCATAATTAATTAATGGAGAAAAATTTCAAAATTCTGCGTAGAAGTTTAGTGTACCAAAGTTAGCTCAATGATATAAAGCAAATCAAATCAAAATCGGTCAAAATATGAAGGAGAAGAAGAATTTTTCGTGATTTTTTAAATTATTTTTGGAATAAATTTGCATAAATTACCATAAATGATCAATGGAGCAAAATCTCAAACTTCTGTGTAGAAATTTAGTGTTCCAAATTTAGCTCTACCAGATAAGGCAAACCAAATCAAAATTGGTCAAGAAATGAGGGAGAAGAAGTAATTTTTGTTATTTTTGGAATAAATTTGCATAAATTACCATAATTAATTAATGGAGAACAATTTCAAAACTCTGTGTAGAAGTTTAGAGTACCAAAGTTAGCTCTACGATATAAAGGAAACCAAATCAAAATCGGATGCCACGTCATGGCATAAGCTCATCCGGCCCAAAGGGCCGGATGAGCTAAATTATATATCATCTTGATATCAAGAAATTGTATTCTTGATGTCAAAAATTACCATTGCTTTACACTAGAAAATCATTTCTTGATATCAAGAAATAAGAATAAATGTTAAGACCGCTTGCCATAAATACGCAGAAATACGCAAGCCAAATACGCAAAGGTGTGACTGAGGCATAAGACGCGTCTTCAAACATTTCTTTTCAAAAATGCTTTCCAATGTTAATGAGAGGAAGTATGTTGAGCATACCTCACTCTACTTATGCTACTCTATCCATCTTACGCTGTCTTACAGCACATAGAGACATATTGTGATATGCGCTATACAAGTACAATTTTTTTTTTTTTTGGGGGGGGGGAGGAATCCTTTGCAGAAGTGGGTCTTAAATGACATCCTCTTTCACATTATGATACAATTTAAGTGAAATTTTGCCATCAAATTTTAGGAGAACTAGGGGCTCCCAACATTTTAGAGGGGCTTTAACATATAAAAAAAATGATTGCCCTTGAGAATCAGCGAGTGACAATATAATATTGTATAAAATATATTGTATAAAATAATATTGTATAAAATACAATTTTTTTTTTTTTTTTTGGGGGGGGGGGGAGGAATCCTTTGCAGAAGTGGGTCTTAAATGACATCCTCTTTCACATTATGATACAATTTAAGTGAAATTTTGCCATCAAATTTTAGGAGAACTAGGGGCTCCCAACATTTTAGAGGGGCTTTAACATATAAAAAAAATGATTTCCCTTGAGAATCAGCGAGTGAAAAATTGTATAATAGGAAAATCAAATATTCTTGCTGGTAATTTTTTTAAAGAGGGTTAGGAGCAGATGAACAGGGTCTAAATTTAATAACACAATTGACAGATAACAGCATTGTCTCACCACAGAAAAACTAAAATATTTGAGTGGAATATCCCTTAGGCCAACAAACATCAAGAGAGGGCATGTATGTCTATGATACAGATATTTATATCGACTGATCATAGCAAACTGCATCTATTAGGGAATTTGTAATTACTGTTCCACGCTGCAATGCCAATCTAATGTCTCCAAGCTCATCAGCTGGGCACCAACATTCACCAATCAGACAGCGGCTTGTCACATCAAAGTTGAACATGTTGAGGGTATGGTAGATGGCCTTCAGCTTCCGAACTTTGATGAACCAAGAGGACAGGTTGACTGCAGCGGAAGCAAGCAAGCGCTGACGATGATCATCCATTTGAACCAAAACCTATGAATAAAAGAAATATCGAATATCAGAATGACAGAATTTCAACTTGGTGAGCCAGTTATAAATGTTTTTCACACACTCCAGCAACAATAGCTCTGCGGCAATTTTCTATGGAGCAAATGTTTGAATACCGAATAAAGATAATTTTACTCCAGATATATAATGGGAGCATGTTTGTTGCATATTTTTCTGAAAAATAATGTTCCTTTTATTATACGAGATCATTCATATACTTAACATACTTCTAGAGAATAACACTTCTCAATATTCAAATACATGATCGATTCGCCATTTTGAGGTTCACATGTTTCAAGACTGTGACTTTAAATATTACTGTACCTAAATTCCTTCTAATAAAAAGAAATTAAAATCAAAATGTGATTTTCTCATCAAAATGTTATGCTACGGTCACAAAGGTTCTTACGAACGATAATTGCGTACGAATCTCTGTTTTTCCATTGTCTGAAAATCGTTCGTGCGGCATTCGTAGCAGTTCGTAATGGCATTTCTGACCAAGGCTTAAAACAAGTATATAAAGCAACATCTTTAGTACTTAAATCATGACTATTGAAGCAAGAGCATTGCAAAATGTTATTACTTGCTGGTTTTTAAGTAATTTCAGTGATATTCTGCTTTGCTCCAAATGCTGTATTCTTACAATTTGTAGATCTTGAAGACGAGTAGCAATCCCTGTTGACATTTCATTTCTTTCATTAAAGTCTTCTGGGCATGGGTATTGTGAAGCACGGAACCTAGAATAAAAAAATTAAAAATAAAAACAGGCATAAGTCAGAGAACTACTAATACTGTACATGTCAGGAGTGATAGTGAGCACTACAAAAAACAAAATTTTGTATTCCCCCTCAACCACCCCGTCCCATCTAACAACATTCCCCCCTTTTTTTAAGGGAAATTGGGAAAAATTAAGGAAAAATAAGGGAAAAATTGGGGAAATAGGGGTAAAATCAGGAATAAGAAAGAAAAAAAAAAATTCTCAAGATTATACATAAGGATCTGTTGCAAATACCTATGTAGGTTTTTTTGTGAATGAACAACGTGATTGACAGTAAAACGCCCCGCTAAAGTTGGTTATCCGGTTGGAAATATTCCACTGCCTGTCAATGTAAAAATTTGTGTTGTGTCAGGGCTAATTGCCCTAGAAAGTGCTGTGTAAGCTAATTTTCAACACGAAAGGTACATATGTAAAATTTTCACAAGAGTAGACAACTTTGGCATCTACAGCAAGTCTAAAACCTGAATTTTCATTAAAACCAGGTTTTTCTGTACATAAAGATATATTTGGGGAGATATGAGCTCGTAAAAAAGAGAGTGTGTGTAAAAGCCTATACCTGATTGTGCACCCTTTTGTGGTGCGTTTCGAATACACTCGTCCTCTATGGAGATGTCCCTTATCTTATTGTAATGAATAATTTAGTTCCTGGCCCTGGGTTTATAGGGTTAAATTTGAAGACATTGGGACATTGGCATTTATATATTTGTCGGTAATTGGTGGCTCGTTTTGTCGGTAATCGGTGGCCTCTACACCCTCCCCCCTCCCCCACTGAAAAAGATCTAGCAAAGCCCCTAATAACAACACAGTTTATACACTCGAGATAATTTTTGCAAGTACGACTGGTGAAGTACAGGACCACCGTCTTTGTGCATTGTGCAGCAACAAAACATAAACAACGTCTCACGACGTGACAGATCACTTTTCTGTAACTTCTAACCAATCAGAAGGCCTCGTTGTTTTACAGGAAGTGCGCCAAATGTGGTTCTAAAATTGCAAAAGATTCCTAATTTTACGTCATATTACTCCAGGAAGTGCCTGAAAATGCATCTGTGGTTCTAAAATTGCAAATGCTTCCCACCCTGTTTGGTCGTTCCGCTGCCATGCCGCCTAAACATGTTGATATTACCAGAAAGAGGTTATATTTGGATTGGTTGTGATTTAAAATCCTGTTTCCCCCAATTTCCTCATAATATTCCAAAGTTACAACGCACAGGGCTTATAAAGATCATGGCCTTCTAATTGTTTTATAAGGTCATGGGTGTGTACGAAAGTGTGCGAATCAGTAATTATACATTTCATATCACCCAAATCGTCTGCTTTTCAACTTTGCTGCTCCCCATTGGGAATGTTTTTATTTAAGACACACTCTTACAGAGCACACCATCCAAACAAAACCCAAGAGAGGGAAACTGCTCCTTTGTCAATGACCGAAAATGCTTATGCAGTCATTATTGTTAAAACAGCTGAATGTTCTCATTAAGATGCACATAATCAGAAGGCGGTGACTCTCATTGGATAAAAAAAAAAAATCACATCGAACGTCCATCCGTAATAGGTCCATGCTATAATACCGGTAGTCTCTGATACTTTCAGATTTAGTAGTAGGCCTACTATACTATAGTAGCTCAATACAGATGATGCTGATGATGATTCAGTTTGAAAAGGAATCAGGGATTGGGCTGTGAGTTCCAATATTCCGCTAGTACATGTTTCTAGCCTCCTGAAAATCTTACAAGAGAGTGTGCCAAATCTGCCAAAAGATGCAAGAACTTTGTATCAACAAATTTGGTGGATTGTGAGTGTGATGGGAAAGAGGTAGCTGGTGGGAATTACCATCATTTTGGCATTTGTAATAATTTTAAGTCGCAATTGGCCAAGAAACAGAGCCTAGCGCCTGCTATTATTATAGCTCGATCGAATGAACGTGGGACACTGGAAGTGGACAGCCGTACCATTGTCATTGTAATTGGGCAATTAACACAACACAAAAGATCCTTTCATCTTAGCAATGTTTAAGATGAAACAATGGACATCTCATGCCAAATAAAGCGCATCTTTTGACAAGGATAGCGTCGAACATTGTCTAGTAAACAAGGCCTCTTTTGCTCTTTTCTTCCGTTGGTTCCGTATATGAGGGGATCGGACTTCACTTGCCATGGGCTATGGTTGGGCTAGGGGTGGGCTGCCAATACCGCTCTAGATAGTAAGGCTTCTCGGCTTCCACTAATATTACTTATTAAATTTATCATACTTATTAAATAATAAACTGGCTTTGTTTATATCATTTGTTTTTCACATACTCTAAAACCCTGCAGAATAGGTATAAAAATGTAGACCCTTTCAGAGTAACATTAGTAGAGACAGACTTCACACAATGTACAACATGATGCACGTCTGTAACAATGTATAAACCACATCCCGTTTTTTATGTTTACCGGTGGTATAAAGAGTGTGATTAATACAACGATAATTACGGTAAAGATAATTGAAACTAGATGGAATTTTGACTGCGTGCAGTCGAAAATGATGCCTCCGCCATAGAGCAATTTAAACAAGTTTGGAGTTTAAATCTCCAGTGGTTCTTGAGATATCATGATAACAATCTCAATGTATGGAATTTCATAAGTTGACCTCTGTGACCCTTGACCTTTGACCTACGTGCTCCAAAATCTAATCAGATTGTCTTCCTATGGTGATACACACTATCATTAAGTTTGAAGTTTAAATCTCCAGTGGTTCTTGAGATATTATGATAACAATCTCAATGTATGGAATTTCATAAGTTGACCTCTGTGACCCTTGACCTTTGACCTACGTGCTCCAAAATCTAATCAGATCGTCTTCCTATGGTGATACATACTATCCTTAAGTTTGAAATTTTTACATCTCCAGTGGTTCTTGAGATATCATGATAACAATCTCAATGTATGGAATTTCATAAGTTGACCTCTATGACCCTTGACCTTTGACCTACATGCTCCAAAATGTAATCAGATTGTTTTCCTATAGTGATACACACTATCACTAAGTTTGAAGTTTAAATCTCCAGTGGTTCTTGAGATATCATGATAACAATCTCAATGTATGGAATTTCATAAGTTGACCTCTGTGACCCTTGACCTTTGACATACGTGCTCCAAAATCTAATCAGATCGTCTTCCTATGGTGATACATACTATCCTTAAGTTTGAAGTTTAAATCTCAAATGGTTCTTGAGATATCACGCTAACAAACTCAATACAAGGAATTTCATAAGTTGACCTCTGTGACCTGTGACCTTTGACCTACGTACTCCAAAATCTAATCAGATCGTCTTCCTATGGTGATAAATACTATTCCAGAGTCTTAAGTTTAAATCTTAAATGGTTCTTGAGATATTGTGATAACGGTCAAACGGGACGGACGTACGGACGGACAACCCGAAAACATGATGCCTCCGGCACCACCTTCGGTGGCGGAGGCATAAAAATCAGAAAAGCAATCCACCAAAACTAGACCTGAGATTAGGGAGGAAAGGAACAACTATTGCAAGAAAATCAGAAAAATATATGGGCAAAATGCTTTTTGGGGCATCATTAGGGGTAAAACATGAAGTCACGTCTGGCAGAAGAAAAGAGGAAGTACATGTACTTGCGCAGGCATGGTCATATTGCGTGGGGGATTCTAGAACTTTTTCTGCTACCGGGGTAATTCTAATTGGCCTTAGATGGCAATAATGAAATAGATGGATAAGTAAAGCGATATTATGTAGATCAATGTATGTTGTGTCAAAAGAAATGTTTGACTATCAAGAAAATTTTCTTTTTTTCTTTATTTTTGAAAAGAAATACATCATGAAACCTGCAATAATCCTAATGATTTGAAGGTCTTTTAGGTCTTTTCTTGTCTGTTTTTATATCAAGTATGAAAAACTAACTTCTGAATCCATTTCTGCTAGCCCAGGTTCATTTTTTGTTCAAACCAAATTCCCTTGGAACAGAACAATCCTGGAAACTATTTAAGTGCATAAGTAGTCTGACTTACCCTTCACAGATTCTCTTAACCCTCATACCAAGCTGGCTCCCTTGGTAGAACAAAATGAAGACAAACTTGTGTATCTCATTGCCCTGCATGTAATCAAAAAGAAATATTGACAAATATGAAATTATACCATCATCATCAACGCTTTAGGTTGCAATCAATAACAAATACCATGGACCACCTACTGAGCTGTGACATGCTGGCTGACACATGCACTTGGAGGGACCTGGCAGAGGCAACTTTACTTTTGCTAACTTTTGCTATAGTATTGGGAACTAGGTGTGTTATGACTCAAAATGATAATGAACAATAATAGATGCCTTAATATTGGTCTAGCAAGATCCAGGTACATTATACTATTTTGAATGAGGAGGTGAGGCTGTAGGACCAAATTTGTGCAACAAATCATACATAAGTTTGAATAATAAGAAAAATAATGTTCGATAAATTTCAAATATTTTGAAAGAAATTTCAACTTTTTTAAAAAATAAGCAGGAAAAAAAAATCTGACATGCTCACAGAGGGCTTGAAAAAGTCAAACGTTTGCCAACAAGATATTTGGAAAGACTTTTGCACGTTTCATGATGTCGGGAATCGCACAATGGGTCATAGAAAGATTAAATATGTGTTCTAGGGGAACAACAATTTTGTGTATAATATTTTTCAATGAAAAGTTACTGACTTCATCATGACCCGTACTTCTTTTTCTTTGAAGTTTTTTAACAAGTTTTAGAATCTCAGATGAGTTGGTTGTACTAAAAAATTCTGATTTTTGTTCTTCAAAAAAGAATGAAAGGGTTTTTCGACAACAGGAATTTTCTTGGCAAGATTAGGTCCAATGTATGAGAAGTAATCATTTAAGTGATTAGCAATAGATTCTTCATAATTGATGGTCTTAATACCCTCTCGAATTTGTATCATGTTTTTATTTCTACTTTTTTTTGTTCAAGGCCTTATTAATAACTCCTCATGTTTCCTTTTTTATTTTTTTCAAACTAGATAAAATAATATCTCTGTTTCTCTAGTCGCAAAATCTTTGTCAATGTGTTTTTGTATTTAACTTAATTATTACAAAGTTTTGGTGTGGGATTCGCACAAAATTTGTAATCCAAGTTATTTTTCCTATTAATTGTTCTTAAAGCTGATACTCTAAGCAAATAAATGTCCCTTAATTTGGTACCTACGGCAAGCATATGTTATATATAAGTTTTTCAATTACATAGTATATCACAAAAAAATTCTGGCTACTCAAAATCCTTAATTGAAATGTCGAGATTATCCGCCTCTCTTTGCATAGCTAATCAGTCACGGCGCTGGTCTACTGTATATGACATCACGTCCGGGAAAGAGTATATTCACGTACCCGGATGTTCCATAGAAAGCATGTGCAGAGAGATACAATTTTTCTGCTTATTTTGTTTCAAAGGCAGAAAATCCTAATAAATCATAATTCTATGTACAATTCTTTACCTTCCCCTAGTATTTCATAGTATTAATATCAATTCCCCTTTTAAAAATTATGACATATACATGCCAACGATGTGCTATTAGTCAATATTTTCACCATGCAATTTTTGTTTTGGTGTTGAAATCGGTCCAGGCACGGAGTGAACAGTAGCTGTCTGGTTAGTGCACCCATGCGCAGTTCATTACCATACAGCGATCTCCCGAAAGTTTCTTCTTCATGTCTTTCGCCTTCCTTGGCCCTGAAGAAGATCCTTCATCTTCTTCCATGATGTGCATTGATCTACCAATTGTGACACCGGTAGTCACTGAGGAGCAGGTCTTTGTTAGTTGTTTTTCGTAGCTGGTAACGTACATCGCTTTCATTCTCTTGCAATTGCCGATAAACATATATGACTAGCGCACGTACGTTCCATCACAAGCAAGCCGCGCCTGGAGCAGCGGCCTGGTCTTACCTCCCGATTCTGCTCGCTTCACGAACGTTCGTGCAAGAGCCGCATCACTCGCGGATGGAATATCGTTCAAACACTAGACGTTGTCAAAATATTATAGAGGAAGCGCGCTTGCATGAGCTGGGTCAAGTTTGATATTTTACAACATAAAATGTTTAACTGGTACTGTATCCTTTTTTGAGGCAGTCACACACATATATGATAAGTACTATCATAGTTCTAGGCCTAATCGTTTGACAAAACTGCTCCTGTACCTTTTCTGATAACACGATGCATCTGACTACTCATACGTGCATGATTTAACCTTGTTCCCCAAGCAGTAAACTTGTCTTAAATCTCTACCAAATAGGTGAATATGAGGATATAAAAAGAAATCAGCGACTGGAAAATGTTGCTTCGTTATTCTTCATTCAAATGAAAACAGAAAATCCATCAAATATACTCATTAACAACAAAAAAACTAAGCTCTGACAGGATAGCATTTATGTAGGGATATCACTGCATTCACTCTCACTGAGCCCATGAGTCCCGTTCGTGACGTCACGGATAGAGGCCCGACTGTACATGCACTTCCGGGTTTCAGACTTGGATAGTTTGGTAAAGTTTACTCGCATAAATTCACCATTCTAAACTTGTTTTTGTCAGCTGGACACCATTTAGTGTTATTCTGGGGGTTAAAATCGGACGACATTATTTTATAAATATTATTTTATTAATAATAAGACCTTATAGTGTAATCATTATTACCTTTATTATCATTTTCTTATTATTTCTCATTACTTTTGTTAATAATATTGATTCTGCGGTCACTGTGCTTGCTTCTGATTAGCCGTTTCTCGTCCGCCTTGAAATAGTTCGTATCGAGGCGTTCACAAACATTTTTTAATCCGTAAATTTGTTTTCATTATGAAAATGTGAATCGCGCCTAAACAAACACGAACCCGTGGTACGCGTGCACGCACGTTCTTATGCAAGTATAAGTGACTGTGTGTGCGAACGAGTAGAAAATAGTTCATCACTTCTTTTATTTCTACGTCCAAATTTGTACTCATTTTCAAGCTAAGGTAAATGCAAAATTGAATGGAAATTACCGATATCGCTAGCTAACTGATATTTTGGTGCTTCGCTTTCTGTTTCATCACTGGCTTTCAAGCCAATGTCGCATGTATCGAGTGACGTAAATTTCCATGACCATTTTCAATGATGAACATGTCTTAATTTAAAGCGTACAACTATACATCATCGCAATACTAGGAAGCAAATCACAAAACTATAAGGCGCACCCCTATTTCGAAGATACCCCCCCCCCCCCAAAAAAAAAAAAAAATCTGTCATCTTTAGTTTAAAAACAACATTGTTACTAGACCTAGGTGTAACTTATTTCACAAGCACTTCAACTGTGCCTCGTATAATGAAAGTGAAAGTATTTTTCGAACACTGAAATAAGACGTGATCTGATCTGGTTAACAAAAATCCACAAAAAAAAAGCCAACATTGGTCTTTTTGTTAACATCAGATCGGCTCTTATGTCAGTGACAGTGTTTGAAAATACTTTCATTTTATTACGAGGCACAGTTGAAGTGCTTGTGAACTAAGTTAGACCCAGTAACAATGTTGTTTTATAAACTAAAGATGACAGAATTTGTTTCCTCCGAGTCCAAACAGAAATGTGGACAAGCTAGTTTTCCTGTGGTGATTCGTTATCCCCTTAGTAAGTGAGCTGCATCATACAGGTGAGTGAGCTTAAGACACGGGAGAGCTTCGGCCGGCAAAGTGCCTTGTGACAGGGAATAATTTATCGAGACTGAAAGAAAAAAAACTCTCTTCCTTTCAAATTAGGAACATAGTTTAACTTCAAATAGTAGATCCTATTCTTTATTTGCATTATGTAATTCATGTTGAGACACAGAGATTTTTGAAAACCACTAAAAAGTAGCATTCGAGGACTCAAATATCCTGTACCTGACTATATAAGGCGCACCCCCGACTTTCGATATTTTGCTGACGGAAATTCACGAGTCATCTTGGATCCCTGTTCGAACAGGTCGATCTGCTCGGGTCGAGATTGTGTAGAGATCGTGTGTACATCTAGTTGGTCTAGTTGGATCGCGTTGGGATCGTATGTAGATCGGAATGATCGGGAAGAGTTTGAAGTTGTTGTCGACTATACGTCGTGCAGGAGTTGTGAATGTTCGAATGTGGGTCGTGAATGATCGAATAACGGTCACAAAGAGCTTGTGCTTAGGCATTGGGTCAGGATTGGTCGGGGGAAATTGGGTGATCGGGCTTGATTGGGCTTGGTCGGGTTGGTTTGATCGGCATTGGGAACCCACTTGAAGTAACACTTAACTCAGTCTTCTCTACCTTGACCCAGTTGGCAGCTGGACGTCAGAACGCTTGTGCTTCTTACCTGCAGACACGGGAAAAGAGGCAAGCATAGCGGCCTTACTAGACTTCATAAGCCCAGAATTAGGCTCAGTGTGACTGGGTCCGACCCGCTCCACTGCACCAGGCGCTCAACCATCAAGACACCGGGAGCCTCTGTGAGATCGGGATCTTTGCATTTCACGAACGTGGATCAAACAATGTCGTGGGTGAAACGGGGACAACTCCCAACAAGAAATTTGCGAGTCGTTGCACCACAACAAAGCCGTAAGACACGGAGCTTGATCCAAAGGTGGAGCACAGTGTTACAACTTCTACATGACTGGCCGACCCTAGGGTGGGGCCCATTATAACTAGAAGGGAAAAACCTCCTTACTCACAAGATACCCGTCACCGGACTAGCAAAACACAGTGAGCGGTATTCCCGCGGAGGGAGAAGGGAAGCCTGGGCCGTATCTGGCAGAGTGTGAAGGCCTCCGGTAATGAAGACTCTAGGAGAGCCTGCACGTCGGCTGCCAAGCCACGAGGGGCTTGGCAGCCGCGCTGACTAGTGACTCAGAGTCACCAACCTGACCCTCAAAATCAGCTACGTGGTGAACCGGCCCCCTAGGGGGCGGGTGCAACCACGATCATTAGTCTCCTTGCCGGGCGGCGACTGAGATAGAAGGGGCAGCTTTGGCCAGGCGGCACCGAGCACCGGGAAAGACCAAAACCGGGTACCAAACCAGTAGGCCTGAGTCAAACCGTTTAACCGACGGTTATCAGACCGCATTCATCAAAACCGT